TCCGCTGGAGCCATTCGGGCGACAGCTGGCAAAAGTTAATTTGGGGGTGAGGGCTCCCCCCCGGACTCCCCGCTCAGCCCTCACGGAAACTCGGGGGGAAATTCCTTTAACTCGGAGTCCCCTCCCCCACGAACATTTCCAAACTCGTGTTTTGGGGACCCGGGAGCGCCGCGGATACGAGGGAACGAGGGAGCGCGCCGCGACTGGCGGGAGCGCAGCAGGATCCGCGCAGTTCTCTCTTGAGCGGCTTCAAAAACGGCAGGGCCCGATCCGCGGCGCGGCGGCTGAACGGGCTGTAATATAATGTTTTTAGAGTCGTGAAAATACGTCGTGTTTAAACGAAACTCACGAACTTGGGAAGCTGATGGACGGAAACGTTCACCACGGATGGGCTCGAACTGGGATTTTGCAGGCGCTCAATCGTGAAGCGGATTCAGGAAGGTCAGTGAAAGAAGGCGCAAGCAGCCGCAAGAGGGAAACCGGTGCGTCAGAGACGCCTTCCATGTTTATACACAAACCAGAATTATGTTAATAGTAAAAGGCAGCCGACAGGTGAAAAAGCAGCTTTTTGTGTCTGTTTGATTTGCTTTTATTTCTTTGTTATTATTGTTATGCCTGGTTAAGTTTCTTCCAATTCACCATGATGCTCTGAATTACAGTCATATGAAAAAGAAAGTGAACCATTCCTTGAAGATGGTTTTAGGTATCAGGACATAATAAACATCATCTGGTCCTTAGCAGGTAAATTCAACCTCAGGTGAACAACACATGACATATTACACCGTGTCATGATTTATTTAGTGAAATATTTATTTATTTTAACAAAAATAAAGCCAAAATGGAGAAGCCATGTGTGAAAAACTTAAGTATACCTTATGATCCAATAGCTTGTAGAACCACCTTGATCAAGCAATAACTTGAAGTAATTGTTTTCTGTATGACTTTCTCAATCTCTCACAATGTTGTAGAGGAATTTTGGCCCACTCTTCTTTACAATGTTTTTTAGCTTATTGAGGTTTGTGGGCATTTCTTTATGCTCAGCTCTCTTAAGGTCCTGCCGCAGCATTTCAATCAGGTTTAGGTTTAGACTTTGACTGGGCCACTGCAACACCTCAATTCTTTTCTTTTTCAACCATTCTGTTGTAGATTTGCTGCTGTGCTTGGGATCATTGTCCTGTTGTGTTACCCAATTTTGGCCAACTTTAGCTGTTGGACAGATGGCCTCACATCTTACTCTAGAGGACTTTTGTGTACGGAGGAATTCATGGTCGACTCAATGACTGCAAGATGCCTAGGTCCCGTGGTTAGAAAACAAGTCCAAATCATCACTCCTCTACTGCTGTGCTTGACAGATGGTATGAGGTGTTTCCACTGATAGGCTATGTTTGCTTTTCACCAAACGTGATACTGTGTATTATGGCCAAACTTCTCCACTTTGGTCTCGTCTGTCCAAAGGACATTGTTCCAAAAGTCTTGTGGTTTGGCCAGATGTAACTTTGCAAACCTTTGCTGTGTTGCCATGTTCTTTTTAGAGAGTCTTTCTCCTGGCAACTCTTCCAAACCAACCATACTTCTTCAGTTTTTTTCTAATTGTACTGTCATTAACTTCAACGCTTAACATGCTAACTGAGGCTTGTAGAGTCTGAGATGTAACTCTTGCATTTTTTGTAATTTCTTTGAACATTGCACAGTCTGACCTTGTGGTGAATTTGCTTGTATGTCCACTCTTGGGAAGATTGCCAACTGTCTTGAAATATTCCACTTGTGAATAATCTTCCTCTCTGAATTATCATTGACTTTAAATTGCCTTATAACCCTTCCCAGATTGATGGGCAGCAACAAGTGCTTCTCTATGATCATTACTGATGTGTTTCCTCTTTGGGGAAACCTGAAGAACACACACTAGAATATTCCAGAGCAGCAAACTGGCAGAATTTTGGCTTTTATAGAGGTGGTCACACTTGTTGATGATTCAAGGGCATTTTGTTAGCAGGACCTGGCTGCTATTTAGCCTCTTAATTCATATGGAAGCAGTAAGAGTGTACTTAGTTTTCCACACGTGGCTTCTTCATTTTGGCTATATTTTTGTAAAATAAACCATGACACAGTATAGTATGTCATTTCTTGTTGTTCATCTGAGGTTGTATTTACCTAAATTTCAGACTTGCTAAGGACTAAATGATTTTTATTGTGTCCTGATATGTAATAGATATGGTTCCTCACCGTAACTATGGTTCTTCAAGTAGTGATCCATGTATCCACAGAAAAAGGGTTTGCGCCTGCACACACGCTGCTTCAGAAAGTTCCAGAATCTCAAAAGCAAAAGGATCTTTGCCTGTCCCGCACAAATGCCGCCCCAGCCTCCTCAGTCCCAGTTGTCCTCTACAACAGTGGTCCCCAACCGTGGGCCTCCAGATGTTCTTGGACTTCAACACCCAGAAACCCTGGCCAGCAGAGGTGGTGGTGAAGGCTTCTGGGAGTTGTAGTCCAAGAACATCTGGAGGCCCAAGGTTGGGGACCACTGCTCTACAAGACAGAGGGTGAAATAAGAGGGGAAGTGTGCAGGTTGTGCGGATACATGTATCACCACTTGGGGAACCATAGTTACAGTGAGTAACAATATCTTCTCCTTCATGGTTTCCGTGTATGCACACAAAAGGGGGGATTGGCAAGCTGGAATCTAGAGGTGGCAGTTACGCCAAAACAGAGGATAGAAGCATCTCTCTGAGATCTAATTGTAATGAGTGATAAATGGAGCTGAATGTTTATGTCATGTGAGAACGCAACAGAAGAAGCGGAATGACTATGGAGAGTCCTAGGCAGTGGCTAGTTGGCCAGCTGGTAAGTGAGGGAGAGGGTCAAGGTGATCCATGTGGAGAAACGCTGGGAGGAGACTGGGTGTCCCTTTCTCAGATCCTGGTAGCAGACCAAAAGTCTGTTTGCCAAAAGTCCTTTGTTCTGTCCAGGTGAAGTGCCAAGGCCTTCCTGACATCCAAAAGAGCGGAGTGAGCATTAAATCAAAGGTTGCAACATGTGGACATGGGAGGCCACTTTGGGCAGAAATTTTATATTGTTGCAGGAGAAAATAAGGGATGGCAGGTCTCCGCGAAGGGCTGTCAGTTCTACTGCCCAGCGACCAGATGTGAGGGCCACCAGAAGAGCTGTCTTAGAGGTCAGGAGATGGAGATTGGCTATTGCCAGTGGCTCAAAAGGGTGTTTGGTTTGTTGGGACAAAAGCAGTCAGAAAGACCAAGCGTCTTGTGGGGGCTCCACGTCAAGGTAGGTGATTTGAAGACCTTTCAGAAACTTCCTGACTGGTGCGTGAAAAAAACGGCGGGAGGAGTGACCAGCTTGTTGGTGCACTACTGTAGCTGCAAGGTATACTTTTATAGATTTAAAGGTCCTGCTGCTTGAGGTACAGTGGTGCCTCGACTTACAAACGCCCCTACATACAAACATTTCAACTTACAAACAGCTCAATTTGCAAAATTTTGCTTCGATATGCAAACGGAGCTTCAACTTATGAACAAAAAAAAAAAACCACAGCGGGAAATGGACTTTGGACTGCCTGGTACTGTAATTTTAAAATGTAAAAATTGGTTTAAAAGGTGCTTGGTTTGGTTTAAAAAGCTACTTAGTTTTAAAGGTGTTTTGTTTAAAAGGTGTTTGTTCCCTCCCTCCCTCCTTTCCGGCCCTTTTTTCAATCTAAGTCAGAGGTCGTCAACCCCTAGTCCACGACCCATTGCTGGGCCGTGGCTTAAGTCCGAACGGGCCGCCAAGACAGACCTCCCGCCCCACCCCCTGCACGCACTCACCTCCGCAAATGGCTGTTTGCGTCTGCACACACTTGTGACTTTGTGAGTTAATAGGTTGAGCTGACAGCTTTTCCTATTAGCAGGAGTATCTCAAGAAGAGCCTTTGGATCTAAACTGGGCAGTTTGGATGATGACGGAGTTACAGGATGTTTGAAGAGAAACATAGCCTTATCCTGCTGGACTCTATAAAAATTCTCAATCCATTGGGACGTAGGGGAATAGAGGAAAGTTTTTGCCATGATTGGATGATGACGATGACGATGACGAT